CCCCCCCCCCCCCACCTAGGCTGGGAGGGGGCTGTGAGAACTGGCGGGGGAGACCCTGGAGCCTGTCCCCTCCGAACTCCCAGCACACGGCCACTCAGGCCACCGGACAAGCGTTTATTGAGTGCCGCCTGCAGCCAGGTCCTGTGGTCCCACGGCCTCCTGTCCTGGGAACCAAGGAGCCACGGGCCCCACCCCAGCGGGGCCAGCAAGAGAGGCAGGCAGCCACGGTGCGCCTCTGTGTCACTGGGGGTCAGCCACAGCTGCCTCCTCTCCTGCGTGATCCGGGGCATGATCCGGGGCACTGGTCACTGTCACCATCCCCCACCTGTTTCCGCCACTGAGGGGAGCAGGGCCGGGTTCAGAGCTGGGGCCCCACGGCAGTGCGCAAAGCCTTTGCTCCTGCGGGCCAGCCTGCGCCAGCTCCGGGAGGGTCTGGCACGGGCCCTCCGGGCCTCAAACCCACAGGTCCTCCAGGCGGCCCTTGTTCTCCGACAGCGGCTCGCCCCACTCCTCCTCGGGGAACTGGCAGCTGCAGGCGTCCTCGGGCGGGGGTGGCAGGGCCTCTAGGAGCAGCTGTGTCTCTGCAGAGGGGCTGCAGTTAGCAGGCAGGCAGGGGTCCCCCTCCCCGTCCCCCGGGCACAACTGACCTGGGGGCCGCACTCTCTGCCTCAGCTGCCAGATGTGCAGGCTGAGCTGGGTCACGGTCAGGGCCAGGACGCAGGCGGCCAGGCCTAGGACGGCGGTCAGCAGGCCACGTGGCTCCGTCGGCGGCAGCCCTGGGCTGCACACGGCATCGTGCGTCTTGTTCCCGGGGAACACAGTGGGAAACCCAAGCTTGGAGCAGCTGGGACGCACGGACACAGAGCCCTCGGTCAGCCCTCGGCCACTTGAGCAGCCCCTCAGCAAGGCTGCTGCCCTCCGAGCCGTCGGGGGGTCACTGCACCAGAAGGGACAGCAGAGGCCCCACCCTCGAGCCCGCCTGGACCACCCGGCCACCAGAAGTGCCCACCAGGACTCACTCTGCCCAAGGTTTGCAGCGGCCCTCGCGGCCCCCAGAGAAGGTCCCCGCGGCACAGTCGATGCACTCGAAGCCGAAGCTGAACTTCCCTGGAGACAGACGGACGGACTGACACGGGCTGCAAGGGCAGCTGGTGTGGCCGAGGTGAGACCCACCTGCTGTCCGGGTCCGCAGCACAGGGACCCCCACCTCATCTGTTTGACAGGGGCCCCAGGTGGCCACAGGACCGGGACCTGGGATGAATCAGGTCCCCACTGTGCCCCTTTCCAGGGCAGGCCATGACTCTGGGCTCAGTGGAGGGTCCCTGAGGGGATGTGGGGCAGGGGAGGGACCTGCCTGCAGAGGCTGGAGGGTATGTGGCGGGAGGAAGGGGTGGAAGCCAAGGCCAGGCAAGAGCTAGGCTTGGTCCTAGCTTGGTCCGGAGGCCGGAAGGCGGGAGACCGGGGAGGGTCCCGGAGAGAGGGGTGAGGCTCTGCCCCAGCTGCCTCTAGGCCCAGCACCATCCAACCTCACGCAGCCCCCCCTCCACCCTCACTCTCCCGGCCCACATGTGCTCAGCCAGGCCCCCCGGCATCAGGTCAGGGTGAGTGCAGGACCTGGGCGTAGTCAGAGCCAGGGCCTAAGGGCCAGACAGCCTCTGGATACCCACACTGTTCCTCACAACCAGCGCTTAGGGGCATCGTCTCTCGATGGAGAAGCTCAGGCCAAGAGAGAGAAGGAAAGCCTCCCAGAGCCACACCAACAGGAGGCACTGTGGCCCCGACGTGGGCTGAGATGCTAAAGCCAGAGAGCGCCCCCCACCCCGCTATGGCGCTGCAAGACCCCCAGTGCTGGCGCCCACCTGCCCGGAGGACGTGTCCGTACCCACCACTTGCGAGCTTCCTTGCACACCTGGCCTGCCCGGGCCACCCCCACCTGCCACTTACCTACAGGCCACGCCCTCTGGCCAGGCGGACAGGAGTAGTACTTGCAGCTCTTACACTGGGGGTCTCCACAGTGGAACTCAGGCTGGATACACTGGCAGTCCAGCTCAGGACAGACCCCCTCAGCTGGGCAGGGGACAAGCAGCCCTCTCAGCAGCTGGACCAAGCCGCCCTCACCAGGGCGCCCCCCACCTGGCCCTCCAGGGAAATGGGGGTGGCAGGGCAGCCCCAGCGGGCAGCACACCTGTCTGGAAGCCAGGACCCTGGCTCGGCCCAGCTGTGTCCCTCCCTCCTGGGCGCCCAGCTCCTCCACCCACCAGGCCTGGCTGCATCCCCCAACCGTCCCAAGCTGCTCCCACCCAGGGTGGCCATGACTCGGCATGTGACCCTGAGCCGTTCCTTCCTGGGAGACCTACTCCCCCTCCCCTGTCCGGGTCCTGCACTGCCCTCAGCTGCCAGGACCCTTGAGGCAGCCTGCCGGTCCCTCCCTGACCGCCGTCCATGGCTCCACCGCACTGAGACCTGGACCCTCAGAGCCCCCTCCCCACTCCCCAGGCCCTGGCAAGAGGACACTCTGGGTGTTTTCCCTGCAATATCTGTCCCCAGACGGACCCATTTCACCTGCTCCTCACCCATAGATGCAGGTCTGAGGCAGGGAGCTGGGAGAAAGAGGGGTGCAACCCCAAACTGGGCAAGAAGTGGCCTGAGTGATGGCCAAGGGCTCATTCCCCACTCGGAAGGAACGGGGACAGCCCTCCTCCACCTTGGGACGCCAGACCTGCCTTGGGGAAGGCTCCTACCCTCCTTGCCCCCGCCCAGCCCCCAC